TGCCTTTCCTTCCTTCTCTATCTCTATCTAATCCATCCTGAATGTACTATACTTTTAGGATAAAAGTTGCAGCTTTTACAGGCTTAATATACAAATTGTATATTAAAACACAGAGGCCGCATCTCCATGTGCCTCCTGTGGCACAATTGTTACTGCGCTCTCATTTAGTACTTGCATTAGAAAGTTCTAAATGATGGCTCAGTAACAGCTGTTACTGCACCATCCCAGCAATGCATGGTTATTTTTAGCAGCTGCATCACCATAATGATGCTCTATTGTGAGTCAGCTTGTCGCTATGGCAGTGTAGCGTTGGCATCGCGGTTTGTCCCTACTGATGCTAGGTCACTGTAGCTTATTGCTACAGCAACCTAGTGTCTTGTGTAGAGAACCTCTTTTTTTGTTAAATTTTAAAGAAAATTCCTGAGTAAGTTTAGCAAAACTTTTAATGTTATGCCCAACTTTAAATCCCACTGAGGTTGCTGAATAGGGATTCAATTAGTTGAATGCATCTTTGTCTTTTGCTGAATGGTGGCATTCATATTGATTAAATGTTTTGGTTGTTGTAAGTAATTCTTGCGTGCTTGAGGGGGAAAAAAAGGAAAAAGATGGATAGAAACGTAGCAATAACTGAAGGTTTTTGCATCTACTGATTGTTTGGCAAATGCTCAGATGAAAGTCTTACATTGTATTCTCTTGATATTCTGTAGGGTACTACTTATCGTAAGTTTTGTACTGGGTACCCCAAAGGTGCTTCATTACATAAAAGTAGCATAATTTCTTAGGGCAATTTTGATTTCTAAACAGTGACTGTTGGCTTTGATTGGCGTTTATAAATGATCAGCTGTCTACACTTGTTCATTATCTCTGTGTTACCTAATCCCTGTATAGCTGAATTATTATTTTTTTAAATTATTTTTTAAAATTATTTTACAGGTTGTTATTCCAAGAAGTCCTGTCCAGGCCAAAGGATTGTTACTGTCATGCATAGAAGATAAAAACCCCTGCATATTCTTTGAACCTAAAATACTTTACAGAGCAGCAGGTAAAAAGGTTTCCTTTTATGTATATGGCAGTATTGTAGCCAATGAGGCCCAGCCGAGGCATGATTATTGCTTGTTGAAAACTTTTCTAATACCATATAGTTTATAGTATGAACATAATGTAAGTAAATGCATATTTAGTTCATATAGCTTAATTTTTAAAACAGCCATCACTTGTATTTATTTTGTGTCTTTACTTTGCATATACAAAATTCAGAGTGTTCTTAGAGACACTTTTCAACTATTGGACAGATTTTAAAATTTGAATGCCAAAGTTAAGTATTTTAGGCTGGATCTATCTTCCACTGACTTAAATTTCTTAGATGCTTAAATAAGCATCTTGATTTTCCTAGAGAATTCATAGAATCATAGAAAATTAAATTTGAAAGGGGCGTCAGGAGGTCATCTAGTCCAAAACCTGCTCAAAGCAGAACCATTGCCAAATATATCTTCTTAGCCAAGGCTTTGTCTAGCCAGGTCTTGAAAAACTCCAAGGATGGAGAGCCCACAACCTCTGTGGGTAACTACCACATGTATTTATCAGTGATGTACTTAATAAACCACTACATGTACTATTAAAGTCAGAGAGCTGCTTAGTTTTCACTATCCCTGAATTCAGGTCAGTTTTTATCCTATTTTTGTTTGTTGAGAAGTGTTATGTACATACTTATTTTCTTTTAAACAGATGCTATGAACTTAAAAATCACACTTTTGCCTGATAATGCTTTACATGATATTAATGCGAGCAATGACTAATGTTACAATATCTGAAAGAGATGCCAGGCTTGTTTTTACTATAACAGTTAGCTTAAGTTATTTTGCTCAAGTAAGAATAAGAGTGAAAACTGTGGAACAATTCTTGAATTTTGTGATTAAGTTGGAAATTGATGAGCCATTGTTAACTTCTTAAAATGCTGCAATTCACAGCATTTCTAACTGGAGTGTCAGCAGCAGTGCCGTTGCCCACCATCTCCTGATGGGTTAGCTGGATGAAACTGAAAGCATCTTTTGGCTCAATCTATATATGTTTTGTGTGTTGGGCTCCATAGCATGGCTAGGGGTGGGCAAGTGGGCCAGTAGTCCCCAGCACCAATTTTAGAGGTGGCATCAGAATGGAGACCTCTGGGAGACTGCTCTGAAGAAGCTAAGATGATTTAACAGTAGATGGAAAGTAGGCTTTTAACTGAAATATATTGGCCTTGGGTGGGTATTGAGGAAAATATGTCAATCACCTTTTCAGCTAGTTAATCTTTGCAAAGATAAAATCATCTCCCTTTCACTTCTCTCTACCTGAAATTGCTTCTCAGGCACATTAGTGTTCTTTTGCTCTTAGAATTTCTGAGAGAATCATTAGGAGAACAGGGATGTAATCTGTAGTACACAATGTTTGAAAGACACAGATTATGTCACTTACTGGACATTCCTTAAGATAGTTTGTGCTCCTCTCTTTCCTTCACTAACATGATGTAATACAGGCTTGTTTCACATACTGAAGGTTAAAGGATTTGCTGCTTCTTGACTTGTACCTTTTTAAAATTTTTTTACCGAGTTGCTCATTTCCTTCTCTCCCTCTGTGTTTGTTCATCTGGTGGGCTTTAAACTAAGTTCGTCGGGGGATGGGGATCCACAGGAGCAAGAAAAAACTCAACCAGGTGTAGGACCTGCCCAGGTAAGAGTTCAGGTATATACTAAGGGACCAGTTGTCTCTCAGGTAGGGGGGGTGCCCAGGGTTCCAATGGGGGGATTAAGGTGTATCTTCACCAATGCAAGAAACATGGGGAACAAGCAGGAGGAGCTTGGTCTCCTGCTTGCAAGTAGTAAAATCGACCTGGTTGGCCTAGTGGAGACATGGTGGGATGAAACTTTTGACTATAGGTTGTTTAGAAGAGATAGGAAGGGGAAAAAAGGTGGGGGGTTGTGCTCTGTTATGGAACAGTAAGCCAGTTCTACCTTCCAAATGGGACCAGAGGAAGGCTTAACTGAGACCCTGTGTGTCAAACTTCAAGGAGGGCTGGGGGAGAGGGATCTGGTGGTAGGGGTTTACTACAGGCCACCACATCAGGAGGAAGAGCCGGATCAAGAATTTTCCAGGCAGCTTGGGGAGGCCGTACGTGCGAAGGATGTTGTGGTCATGGGTGATACGAATTACCCTGACATCAACTGGGAGGAGCAGTCAGCCAGGTCTAGCCACTCATGAAGGTTCCTGACGTGCGTACAGGACCTACACCTTGTGCAGGAGGTGCTTGTCCCCACTAGGAAAAACGCCATATTGGATTTGGTGTTAGCCTCTGGGGACAACTTGGTGGGGGAGATGCTAGTACAAGGGAGGCTAGGGGATAGTAATCATGAAATGATCCAGTTTGCTATTCAGAGAAAAGTAGAGAGGGTAACTAGCACAGCGCAAATGCTTGACTTTACAAAAGCCAACTCTGATATGCTCAGGGCAGTAGTCAGGGAGGCGCTCGGAGCCTAGGATGTAGCTAGTATGGGGGTCCAGGAAAGGTGGTCCTTCCTCAAGGAGGCTATCCTTGGGGCGCAGCAGGACGCAGTTTCCCTTCGCAGAAAGGTGGGAAAAGGGTCCAAGAAAACTTCATGGCTGAGTGCGGATATCCAGGCTGGCCTGAGGGCAAAGAAAAAAGCATACTGGTGGTGGAAGCAGGGGGCAGGGACAAAGGAGGAGTACACCTCCCTGACCCGAGCTTGTAGGGATTTGGTAAGGAAGGCTAAAGCAGCACTGGAGCTTAGATTAGCTTCTGGGATTAAGGATAAGAAAAAGTCCTTCTTCAAGTATATAGGTAGCAAGAAGAATTCTTGGGGTAACATTGGACCCCTATGGGGCAGGGTAGGGCAGGGCATGGCAGGGCGGGGCAGTTGGTGACAGGCGCACGAGAGAAAGCAGAACTCTTTAACAAGTTCTTTGCCTCCACATTCCTGTCTGCTGACAATGGGGTGCTCTTGGGTGATAGCGTAGAGAGGCCCAGGAAGGATGCAAGTCCCCTGACTGTTAGTTCAGACCTAGTTAAGGACTACCTGGAGGGCTTAGATGTATCCAAGTCGGCGGGCCCGGATGACCTTCATTTGCGAGTGCTGAGGGAACTGGCTGGTGTCATTGTGGAGCCATTGGCATGGCTGTTTGAGGACTCCTGGTGCTTGGGCCAAGTCCCTGAGGACTGGAAAAGGGCCAATGTGGTCCCTGTTTTCAAGAAGGGGAGGAAGGAAGAGCCTGGCAGCTACAGGCCAGTCAGCCTCACTTCTATCCTGGGGAAGGTCTTTGAAAAAATTATCAAGGGCCACATTTGTGAGAGCCCTGCAGCGGAAGTGATGTTGAGGGGTAACC